TAGGGGACTTTAGCCCTCGACGTGTCATTTTAGGTTAAAAAATACTCCTATTTTGGAATGTTAATCGTATGTTAACTAATGATTTTCAACAATAGAGGGAGTTTTTTGCCCCAAAGTTAAATATTGGGGGGCAAAATAACCATTATGATAAACGTTGGGAGGCCATTTTTAACATTATGTTTTTATAATTTTTGAAAGTCTAATAACCAAAATTAGTCCTTTAAGTATAGTTCAGTGATCTTTGATTCTAACATATTGGTAATTGAAGTTACAATTTAAGACATGAATTGGTATAATAAACGAAACCCAAAAACCAAGAAAGTAAAAAGGAGTGTCTAGGAAGTAAGAACCGTGGGATTGGGAATGGTGAAAAGGTACAAAACGGTTCAAACTCTTTGAAACCATGTTTCATGTCTTAATACAGTGATTAGAACAAAATCCATGGAATCGGATACCAAACATTGTGATTAAGATTTAACCATCTTTTAAGGGAAAGTTTGGTTCACGGAATGTAAGATTACCAGTGGGAATAAAAGATTACCGGGGAATAGGATTACTGAGAATGTTGTGTCATAACCATTTTTTCATAAAACTATTAAATATATAAAAAAAACGATTACGACTTTAAATTTAAAAAATGAGTGATTTTGAATTGATTTGAATTAAATTAAAAATAGAGTCGCCATCGACCTTTGGGTTAGGTAGGTCGAATACCTAAAAACGTCTTTTAAAACAATTTTAAGAAAAATCATTTTTAGACAAGATTCGGTATGCGTTACCAAAGATTCATTTAAATGGATTCGGGAGTCGGTTACGTGCGAGGAAGGGTAAGCATCCCCGCAACGCCCAAAATTGGTACTGTGTCGCTTACACATCCTTGTAAATGGTGGAATTTATGAGTCGAATATAAAGTTAAAATGTGATCTATTTATCGAACGTTGATTAATTTGCTTCGAATTAAATAATTAGAGAAAATTCCTTAACTCGAAAAGAAATCTCGAAATTAGCAATCCTCCATCGGGAAAGCTAACTCGACTATTTCTCATCCATAAAGAATATTTCCCTCTTGATAAAATGTGAACCGAATATAAATAAAATTGATGTTTGCATACAACAAAATAAATTGATTAACTAAAATGTGAATTGAATACGAATGCAAATTTTGAAATTGACATTTACATAAAATAAAATAAATTACTATTTAAAATAACACACATTGCATCATTTGCACAAATTAATTAGTGAAATATACTCGACTTGTTGCAATTTCCTATGTCGTTAAAATGCCGTATCGGATCGCACCACTTCGACCAAGTGATACTTTCCACGCTCATTCTACGCATACGTGTTCTCAAAAGTGTTTGGACAATATTTAAATAAAGAAAAATGGAAATAAATAGAAATAGAAATATGTGAAATAAATATTTACAACAAATAAAATTAAGCATATTTAATTACATATGGTACAAATAAAATACTTAACATGAAAAATGTACAAACCTAGGGGATTAAAAGAATGTTACAACCCAAAATATAATGGTCAAAAAGTAAGTATTTAATAATTACAATGACTAACATGGTAATAACAAATTAAAGGGCTAAAACAGAAAAATAGAAAATTAAAAGACTAAAATGGCAAAAACAGAAACGTAGGAACTAAAATAGTAATTAAACCGAATGCACACTAGTGACCAAAATAAACAGATTTACAAATCTTAGAGTCAAATTTGAACATTAGCCAAAATATACCACATATAAAATCAGTGACTAAAATGAAACTAATACAAACATTGTGGCCAAAGTAAAATATGAGTATAATAATATAACATGGGTTAAAATGTAAACATGCAAACATGGCAAACCATAATGCAAATAAAATAAAATAACTAAGCCTTATAGACAAGTGACTAAACTGTGTAAATTGAAACTACAGTATCAGAAACATAAAATAGAGAAACTAGATTAATCAATGGCTACAATAAAACAGAACAAAATCAGTGGTTAATCTTAGAATAAACAGAAACTTAAAGATTCAAGCAGTAATTACACCAAATACCAAACAGTGACTAAAATATAAGAAACATAAATATCATGGCCAAATTCTAACATTCACAAGAAATAAACAACACATAACCAATGACTAAATTGAAATAATTATAAATACTATGGCCAACGTTCAACATTAATAATAATAATAAACAAGCAAGTACCAGACCCAAAATACCAATGTTAAAACATTAAGGCTCAAAATAGAATAAATATAATTTTATTTAATGATTAAACCGTGAGGTTACAAAGCAGAAAGGACTAAAAGTGTAGTTACCCCATGCGTGAAATTACAGAACTCGTCCCCTCAAAACGACGCCGTTTTGCAAAAGCTATAAATAGCCCAAATAACCCCTAAAACCGGCCATTCGTTTCATTCTCATCTAGAGAAGAGAGAGAGTAAGAGAGACCGAGAGAGATGAGATCCAGAGATCTCTCTAGAAACGGCCAGACTCCGCCGCGCCGGCCGCCACTGACCGGCGGTAGCCGTCGTATGCCGACGCCGGAGGGAGAGAAAATAACGCCATCCGAAGCGTCTCCAAGCCCTGAGCAAGGATTTGGCCTCCCTTTGGCCCCTAAGTGGCTCAATCACAGTGGATCAGGGGAGAAACCTTTCGGTTTCTCCATCTCCGGCGACCGGTTTTCATCGGTGTTCGACCAAGGTATGGTCTCTATTCTCTCCTCTTTCCTTTCTCTTTTTTTTTGTTTCGAATCTCTCTTTTTTTTTATCTTCTGTTTTTTTTTTGTTTTCTTTTTTTCCTTTTTCTCTGAACCCGAATGGTCTCTCGTTATTCTCTCTGTTTTTTTTTTCAACCGAATGACCCCCCCCTTTTGACTCTGATCTCTTGCTTGATTTATGGTTGATTTTTGCTTCGTTTGGTGAGATGATGATGTCTAGGAATAGGGGAAATTATGGGTTGTTGATTTAGGGTGACCAATTTCCCGATTTACCGGGATTTAGGCATTTTATATTTTAGGGTTTGGATATATATATATTTTTTCTGATTTGGGTTGATTTGGGACTGATGGGGTTGTTGTGGTTTACTGTAGATGACGATGGTGGCGCGGGAACGGCGGCTGGACCATCGGAGTGGAGCGAGACGGGCCGGAACAGTGACGGCGGCGCGGCTGTTCACTTGCTGCTGGCGGCGGCGGCGGTTGGATGATGGGTTTAGGGTTTAAAACCCTAATTACTGCGTGATCTGGACCGTTGGATGGGTCCAGATCCAATGGCCAGGAATGAGGCGGCTGGAACATTTAGGGGATTAGGGTTTGAAACCCTAATCTAATTTAGGGTTTGAAACCCTAAATCTAATTTAGGGTTTGAAACCCTAATCTGATGGGTTGATTGTTGGGCTCCGGGATTGGGCCTTTGGCCTGCAAAAATTGTAATATGTAATTAATAAACATAATAATAATAAATAATAATAATAATAATAATAAAATAACGATAAAAAAACCCGGACAAAAACGGGTGTCCACATGTTGTATTTTGTGTTTGGTTGGTTTAGCAGGAATGTAAGATTACCGTGTCTGGTTAAAGGAATAAAAGATTATTAGAATGTATATTTGACTAAATTTAAGGGCATTTTAGGACAATTTGGTCAAATATACATTCAAATAATCTTTTATTCCTTTAACGAAACACGGTAATCTTACATTCCTGCTAAACCAACCAAACACAAAATATAACATTCTCAGTAATCCTATTCCCTGTTAATCTCTTATTCCCACTGGTAATCTTATATTCCGTGAACCAAACGCACCCTAAGAGTAATGTTCGTGGCCATTTCCTTACAAGACATACAACGACACCGTTTTCTGTTTAGATTTTGCTGACTCCTCTCTTTTCGTCTCGAAAATTGCACGTTCCCATCACACCTTAAGCTTCCATGCATCACTCCTTGATATTATACTTATAGATACAGGAGAGTTTAAGTAAAGACAATTTAATTTAAGATTGAGGAAATATGCGTTTGGAAATGTTATAAAAATTACAACATTTTTAGTTTGGTGCAATTTAAAATGTTAATATTTTCTTAATATTTTTCAGTTGAAAATCTTCTTTATAACATTTTTGGTTGGTAACAAAAAATGTTACATTCTGTCAACCGAAAATGTTAAAAACTTACATTTTAGACTGCGCCCAACACAAAATGTTATAATTTTTATAACATTTTCGCTTACATCTATTTCCTGTCGTTCTTTAACATTAAATTAAGCTGTCGTAGGGCAGAACTACCTCTCATAGTGATTGTGGATGTCAACCATTAAACATCGGAAGAAGTAAGTAGATTAATTTGTTAATTAAAAATTAAAATTTTGTTCGACATTTGGTATAATTTGATTCTATATTCTTGTAATATTATTGCTATGTCTAAATTGGCATTATTGTTGTTATAATAAAACTAATGACTTGTATTTGTTTAACGTGTAAATTTATTATTGGTTGAACATAATTGATTAAATCTTCATATGATCATGATAAAATTTTATGTCATTATCTTATGCTAACAATCAATTATGTTAATAATTTGATCCTACTAACAATTTTAACTATATATCGATTATTAGATTGATCCATATTTTTTTTATTAAAAATGGTACTAAAACTATTCGTTTAATCCCAATTAACCCCAAAACAATGCAAACCAATAATCATGTGATTCGTGACACATTCTTGTAGATGCTATACACTTTTGGGGTAATTTGGAGAGAGAAGGATAATTTAAGTACCAGTTTTTGAAAGGGAAAAAAATATAAAGATCAATTTAGAAATCGAGATATAGTTTAAGTTAAAAGTAGATGACTAAATAATTCGAGGTTGAATGAAATTAAATTTCAAATAAGCATAATAGAGGGACTAAACTAGAATTAGACCTAAAAAATACCAGACGATTCGTATATAAATCCCAAGTGACGCGCTTCACTTGAAGAACCCGCAGCAAATCAAACTCGTTTTCTTCCTCTCTTTGCAGTCTCTGCTTATTTGTTGTTGATGGAAGAAGATGAGAATTGTGATGGAAATGGGAATGAAGAGGAGCATTTGAAATCGATTGAAATTGCTCCCATGATGTGTTCTTCACCAACAATTCCAAACCTTTCATTAATGTCCTCGAACGATCCGTTTTTCTCCTGCATTATCACTCTCTACATTCTAATCCTCCTCTACTTCCCTCAAAGCTTTTCCCTCAAAATCCTCTATATTTTAACTCTTCTTTTGCTTTCCGTCCTTCGCTTCAATGCCGTCCAAAGGACCCGAACGGGCACAGGAAGTAAACGGATCGTCAACGAAGTTGAAAAAACGGAGTTCTCGCAGCAAGAGCTTAAGTGGGTCGGGCTTAAAAGTGACCCGGAGGTTATAATTCGGAGTTTCGAAGAGTTTTTCGTTGAATCGGACGTCGGAGCTCCGTTAGAGGTGATATTCGAAGGGTTCGAAGGAGAAGAAGAAGGGGAGGATTACCCCGATCCGACCCGTGTTATCGAGAGGCATCCTTTGTTGTCGTTGTACTACCCGGAGTCGGACTCGGATAGTTCTTCGTCGTTGGAGATGGATTTTCCGGCGATCGGGGAATGGATTTCGATGGAGAAGATGTGTTACCGATGGGAAGAGGAAGACAGAGATGAAGGGATGATTGAGATAGATTTGGATTTTCGTGAAGAAGAAGATAATTTGATTGAGATCGACATTTCTTAAGCATTAATTTTAGCCAAGATTGAATTTATTTTAATCAATAGTTAATTGTATTATATGTTCTCAAACTATGACCCTCATATTAAATTAGTCTCTAAACTTATAAATATTCTAATTTCTTTTCTCAATTATGACTCTCATTCTAAACGTCCAAAAACTTTTGATCATTCCAAAATCATTCCCAAACTATGTTCCTCATCCGATATTAGTACCCAAAATTTTAAATGTTCTAATTTTATCCTCAAACTTTTGAAAGATTTAGGGAGACATTTATTGGAATTTTCAAAAGTTTGGGATCAATTTAGAATGATGATCGTACTTTGGGAATTAATCTAAAATGCTCAGAAGTTTGAGGATCAATTTAAAATGTGAGTTGAAGTTTGCGGATAAAATTGAATTATTTAAAAGATTAAGGATCAATTTAAAATAAAAGTCATAGTTGAAAATCTATAACGCAATTAATTCTTTAATTAATTTAAAAGGTTGGAGTGAAATCTATCATTAAATTTAAAGATTATTCAATTAAATAACAATGGTACATAAAATTATATATTAAAAACCGATAATTTTAGTATTATGTAATAAATCCTACTTTTCTTCTTATTCCATATATTTTCACGTGTTTTAAGTTCTTTAAGAGCAATCCATAAATCTATTTCAAATTCTTACAAAAACCCTAGCCGCTTTATCTCTATCTCTCTTCTTTCTTTTTCTAATTTTATTTAACCAACGAGGACACCAGTTTTAATGCTGGTTGTCTAACCGTCAGTTGTCATTTTTCTTTGTTTTTTTAGTTTTTCTAATAAAAATAATTATGTCTTTGTGACACGTTTATTTTTGTCTTTTGGTCATTTGGCTGTTATTTTCGTTTATCTTTTTTCTCATGGTTGAGTTTGTCGATTCAATTAGATTTGTTTGTATCTTTATTTTGTTTGAACATTTTGATTATGTTTTTTTAACATTTTCCTTTTTTGGTCTTGTGTAATGGTTATAGAAAAATATCATGTTATACTTATAAATCTTCGTTATAATTTAAAATATTTTTTATTTTTAATAAAACCATCAAACTTCTATAAAAAAAATTGATATTTTTAACACCAACCTATACGGATAAAATTTCAAAAATTCCATCATTTTAGAAAAATAAAAGAAAATGATGCGAAGTAGATTAAAAAAAAATGCATGCATGAACGATTGATTGCCGTATGGGGAAAGATTGACAAGGTCGAGTTTTAAAAATCCCTAGAAACTGCATATCTCACATATATGCTCCTACAAGAAAAAAATTACAATTTTGGCTTTGATAAAATCTTGTTTAGAGCCTCCATGGAATGCTGATTGCTCAGTTAGGTCCCCAGCAACTCAAGTACATTACAGTCCTCAGAGACTCTTCTGCTTGCTTCAGCTTGTCGTTCTCTGCAGTTTTTGAAACCCCACTCTTTATCGTATTGCAGAAACTACTTGCTTGCTTCGACGACGAAGAAGAAGATGAAGAAAACCCAGACCCAGTGGACGATCTCAGACAAGATTCACACTTCGAAGCCTTGCCTTCCATTGCCAATAATCTTTTCTTTTTTGAAGTAGTTAGACTTAGAGAGATATTTTGCGAAAAACTACTTGACTCGGACCATGCTTTTAAGGAACCAAACATGGTGGCTTCAAATGGACGGTTTAACCAGAGGAAGAAGCTGAGAACAAAACATGAAGATTCCCAGATGATTGGATAGAAAGGACAACACCCGTTGTCTACGTTTTGAGTTTGAAAGTTTCTCTCGTGTTTGAATTTCTTTGGATTTTCAGATAGTGTAAGCTTTCTGGGTAACTTGTTTGGCTTTGATACATTGGTGATGATGGTGACTTTGAAACATTGTTTGATTTAGTCAGGGATAATGACGTGAGATTTCAAACAAGCAAGAATTTGATGTATAGTCAAGGTCAAATTATGTTGTAGTCCCTCTAAGATGTTGATATGTATTTTTGGGTAAATAATATTTTGGTACCTGAACTTGGCTTCATAGTGCAGTTTGATACTTAAAACTTTTTTGGGTCTAATTAGATACCTAAACTTGGCTTTTAGGTTCAAATTGGTACCTAAACTTGGATTTATGATTCAAATGAGTTCGAATAAATAATTTATCATACGAAAATTTTGGATCAAAATGTGATGTTCGAGTACCAATTTGAACAAATAAGTCGAGTACCAAAATATATATTTACGTTTTTTTCTTAAAACACCTCACTGTTAACTTAAATGATCCATGTTTAGCATGATTAATCTGAATGTAATATAATTTGAATCAGAAATATAAAAAATAAGAGGATCAAATTATGTCGATTTTGAGCCTATAGATTAAATCCCTAATATGTTTATAGTATAGGGATCAAAAGCATAATTTGACAAAAGATCAACTACTAGACTTTTACAACAAATACAGTCTTCCCATTTAGAATCAAAGCATAAGAAAGATTGAAGTTTCTTAATCAAAGTAGTAGAAAATTACAAAAAGGTTCAAGAAAATCCCTTCAATTTTTCCCAGAAATTAGTAGAGATTTGTAGTAAAGTTGAATGAAAATTGAAAAGTTTTGAGAACTTAGGAGTTGCTGTAAGCAGGCTTTTAATAGCTATCAGAGCCCTTATATAGTAGCTAGCAGTGTCTTCCACGACTGTTATTGTGTGATCGCAATACTTGCAATCATCGTAATAGTCCGTTATGTCCGCAATCATGATAAAGGATGATCGAAAATGCGACCTTAACTGTAATTTGAGTCCCGGGCTATAAGAACACGTATATAAGTTGACTGTGTTTTTGATTCGAGGAAGGAGACGAGTCAACTGCAACTCCAAAACTACCAACAAAAGCTCCGACTCGCCTCCCCGACAAAAACGAAACCGGTTCACCCTTCTAGTGCATGGGATGGGAGATCATTCAGTTCACCCTTGAACCATGGTTCTTCTTCAAACAAAAAAACATGATAGAAAAAATCTATGTTTGTCCTAAAAGGAAGCTAATTAATGTAGTAATCTGTGTCTCAAGAGAAAGTAAAAGTCACATTAGGGAACTTATTTCACTCGTAGTAAGATATGATTATATAAAATGTGGTAAAGGTTCATGGTATCTATGGATTCAACGTATAGACCGGTGGAATTGGGTGTGAGAAATAAAAGAATATGCTAGATATTTCATTAACAATAATTTGTAAGTCCAATGATTCTTGGATTGAAAAAGAATATGCTTATTATAGATAAATATATTGATTCTGGATGATGAGAAGTGTCGTGTTCAAGCAACGATCCTTCTGCAACCGGTGGCGATAAGACAACCGCGGGTGTAAGGGTTAACAGGTCCTCCGCTCAGCGTCCAGATTGGTTGCATGGGAGTGCGTTTTGCTTAAGTGCTTCATACGAAATGGCCTTTCTTTTGGTCGCAAGCTCCCGAGCATTTCATTGCAAAACCTCAAAGCACAGGTGCCAAAGATCCTCACACAAATCTTGCTCATTATTGCCTCTGACAACTTCACTGCAAACAATCCTGATTATCATCAAAAACCAATTGTTCGTGCACACCTGAGCTCTTCGAAAGGCACTACATCACGCCAAAACAAACAATAGCATACAAGGACAAATCATCATAACATACAACCATTCCCAACGAACACCTTCAGTGGATTTAACCTAAAATCGCCACTACAACAAGAAACAGTTAACTTTGAAGGACCCATCAAGTCAAGGAAACATGGGTGATTTTCCCCCAAAAATCAAATTTTCGTTATATATTTATCTATCAGTCAACCTTTCAGATATATTTCTCGATCTAACACCCTTTACAAAAAGGTGCGACACATATGTACCCTTTCGCGTGCATAAACCATCTGAAAAAGGAAGGTGTGAGAGTCCAGAGCAGAGATATCCACCACCTTAGAAAACCCCTAAATAGTCCGAAATACTCTAATGACGGAATCAACCTCCATCGCATTAGGTGTAAGAATACGACCAACCAACCAACCGTCTGGAATATTAGAGATACCCGTGATGGGTTGATCAGGGGGTAGAAGATCGCCAGTTTCTTCCTCGGTGAAATGCAGATAAGCGAAAAGGCTTTCCATCTCATCAGCCATTATAGTAAATATGCACCAACAGGCATAGAAATTGCAAGAATGATTAGGACTGGAGAGGAAGTCGAAAGGAGGAGAGAGCGTGCAGTAACTGAAAATAGCCGCCATAAAACTGTTCATAGAAGGGGGTGTAGGGGTGGTTACTAAGAATCCTGACGGGTCATTATCCACGTGGCAATCAAATGTAAGTTTCATATGCTTGAGGCATGCAGCAGCATAACGGATGGAAACCACCTTATCGGAAAACCAAACAAAGTGAAACTGGAGCAATAAGGGAAGATGGCAAACTAAAAGAATCAGAATCTTGTCGTTCAAGATATGGGTGATAACCAGTGACTGAATGGGGATCCAGAAAGCCTTTGAAACGCAACCCATCAAAAGTTATTACAGACAAAAGAACAATGTTACCCGACAATACGAATTCGCGAGGAGTACGACCGGATGACGAAACTACCATAACGTGAATGCCTCCGAAAAGAGAAACATAACTAAGTACCTGTACCGTGGAGGTTTCGAAAAGATGAACCCCGCCGGTGACCGTGACACCCTGTCATTAAGAGAGGGCCGAGAGAGTTCCATTGACCGTAACTTATAAATTTGTATTAATCAAGGAGATATGTTGGTGATATTTAGATTTTGGATGGGATGTTTCTTAGTTTTGGTGAGGGATTAGTGCTTATATTATATATGTCGTGCTATTGTATATTATTTTATGTCATTTTTTTCTAACTGTTGAATTGAATTTTTATAATGTATATACAGTTAAAACTCTATAAATTAATAATGTCAGGACTGGATAAATTTATTAATTTAGAGAGTTATTAATTTATCGATAAATTAATAATTATTAATTTAAAGAGTTTTTAAATAATTATACTGTACATACCAAACAAAAAGGCAAA